GGGGGGGGCAGAGGAGGATTAGGGGGAAGGGCAGGGGGGGCAGGATTTACCAGCTTCTCGGCCGTGCGTTACAGCTCTGCGCGGCGCCGCACCGGATTGTCTAGGACTCTGCCTGGCGACCACAGCAGCCCCTCCACCACCAACCAAAGGTGAGCTTTTTTCCTCCTTTTCTCACACAGTTGCATTATCGGCTTCTGCAAAGCTGTTTGTCAGCTGGCCCTGGCACAAGTAATAGCCAGAGAACTTTTTGCAGAGGCTGAGGTATTAACATTCATTGCGGTCTGAATGGCTGTTTGATTTATTAAATTTATCCATGGCATCTGAGCACGCGAGGCTTAGCTGCATTATTTATAAAGATTGCAGTTTGCTCTTGAGACACCCTTCTCTGAGCATCCACAAAACATTATACTTGAAAAGTAGGGACGGATAATGCGAGTGTGTTGGTGTGACACAGCCTGGCGAGGCAGCCTGGAATGCTCTGCTTCTCCAAACAGCTTCTGAAGCATCCTTGTGCTAAATAAATGGACTCTAACATTTTTTAGTAGGTGGGTGTTGCAGGAATTTGGATGTTGAGGGGTTTATGAAAGGCACTTTTTGAATACCTGCAATTTAGTTACAGATCTGCATGTTATTTTAATTCCGGTAGAGATCTTTTCCTGTGTGTGAGGAAATCATCTCTAGCTACTGGGGATGAGGCAAAAATCAATATATGCTACATTTTTTACAACAGTCTCTTCCAAAACTTCAGCCCATAGCCACAGAACCATATTGGGGATTTTTGAAATTGCAGATAAAGTATCATTTGCTGGGTGCTTGAGTTCTTAATATCAAAGGGATATACATTATGCATGAATGGTTTATTATTGATCAAAATACTTTCTAGGTTCAAGAATAATGTTTGCTGACAGGTCTCAGTTTATCAGTGAGCAGTGACAGCAGATTATACGTTATCTTTGGAGCGCACATCCCTCCATGCACAGAACCTATACACACATACATACCTGTGTGTGCCTGTACATGGAAATGTAGGTGTGTATGCGGCTGCATCGTTCCACACGGGCATGGAATCGGTCCTGCTGATTATTGCTTTACCAGTGAGCTGGGTAAGAAGTACTGGATTCATGGAAGAAGTGCCCTATTGCCGTGGTCGGTGTCTGCTCCAGGCTGGCACTGGAACCCTGCCCGGACCCGCTGCCTCCTGCAGGCTCCTCTGCATCCCTCACCACGGGCTGCCGCGGTCCCCACCAAAACTAGTGCCTGGATTTACACCCACCCGTGCTAGAGAATTAGTCTCCAAGTGGAATCTCTAGTGAAGGAGCTGCCGTGACCAGATCTGCAGGGGTTAGTGCAGGCTCTCCAGGCTGCAGCTCTGTTCCGTGACATTGCCTCTCCCCCCTAAAGCTGAATTATCTGCCAGCTGTAAAACACCCCCATATTCTATACAGTGGATAGCACATATATTTTTAACTTTTGCATTTTCAACTTGATTTGACTTGTTTATGGACTCTAGAGCTTTTCTCCATCTTTCTACTATCTCTGCATAAATATTTTTTCTGCTCTATCACAGTTCATCATTATTTAACAGTTTTAACCTGATATCACCATCAAAGATAACTTTGCAATCTGAACACATCTTGGAGCAAGCTCAATTCCAAGATACTGTGGGAAGGGAGGAGAGGCGAGGGAGGAAATGGTAAACTTGCCAGAAAGCCCTCCCCAGCTGCAGCACTCACCTCAACAGCATGTGGACAGATTTTGGTGTTTCTGCCTGTTTCTTGGTTGTTGACAGACCTCACACTGTGCTTGAAGTGACACTTGGAGCAGGACTGTGTTGGGAAAGAGTCGCTCACGAGCTGGGTGTGTGGGCAGTGTCAGCGCAGATCCATCTCCTGGAAAGTAAAACTTTGTGAGCTGAAAGAAGCGTTTATTGGTTCTGAAAGCCCAGGAGCGAGGGCAGCTCTCTGGGGAGGGCAGCTGGGTGACAGCAGGGCTCCAGGGGTCAGGACATGCTGAAGGTCCCTTCTTAGGCACCCTCATTAACTCACAGAAAAAATCCCCCCAAGATAATAATCTTCATCTTGATGGGAAAGGGGTAGAAGAGTGAAATTATTCTCTAACTCAAAAAATTGGAGGTGGCTTGGGAAGGGACAGGGAAGAAATGCTTTTATTGTATTTAGATATAAGCCCTCAGCAAGTTCTGCAGCAGCAGAACCGAGAAACGTGGTGGTTTTGCACAGAGGGAGATGCGGGATGTGCCTGAGCGAAGGAGGGCACTAACTCACCCCCTCCCCGGGCACAGGGAGCAGCACCTCCACATTCCCGCCTGCAGGAAGGGCAGGGATGAGAAAACCGGAGAGCAAAGCTGCAGCGTGAGCGGCTGTGGAGCCGCGTGGCGTGTCACTGTGCCAGGCTGGAGCCACACCAGGGCTGTCCCATGTCCTGCCCGTGGGGATGGGGCTGCCCTAACAGCCCGGTGGGCTCTCGGAGCAGCGCGGGGGGAACCCCTGCGGGGCCAGAGCTGGAGGGTGCTCCGACCTCTCCCTCAGAGGCAAACGCCCGGGAAAGGGCAGGTTTTGGGGGTTCCAGCTGGGTCTTGTCTGAGCACCACCCTGATACTGCCAGGAAGGTCAACCATCAGCTTGTATTCCATAGACCTTATCTCATAGAAAAGTATGTGTTTAAGTTGGTGAAGGAAATTAATATTCTAGTAACTCTTCTTCAAAAATTTCCTTTCTTTTTGGTGAAAGAATATCCTAGGAAAGGTGACAGAATTGCAAAATCGCCTCTTTTTCTTTCCTTTGCATAAATTCCTAAATTACATTGTTTAGTTGGTGCAAGGAGTCCACATGACACTTTCTTAAGGAGCTAGAAAAAGTATAAATGGACCTGAGCCAAAATCCATCAGCATCAACCTATGTCTTGATTTGAGTGGATTTTGGCTTAAGACAGCAGAGTACCAGATTTCTTCTAAGCTTTACTTGTAGCACGTGCTGCTTTCCACACAAACGTGTTTCATTTTTCTCTCTTATCCCATGATTTGGAAACTGGGAAAATGTGGAATTTCTCTGCCAATTCCACTCGAGGTACAAGGGGAGAGCTCAGACATCTACCCTTTGTCATCTTTTTAACCTCTTTCTCAAAACCCAAGAGACAGCTCTGGCCACCTATGAAAGTTGGGCTGCCAGAAGCACTCGCCGTGGGCCACCTTGGGACTGGCAGATGCTCAGGGTTCCTCAGGGTGCTTTTACCCATCAGAATAAAGGCAACTGCAGATATTTGGCAGGATCCCAACACTACGTTTACAGCTTCTCAAGAGTTTTCCCTCCTGCCCGCATTCACGCAGCACAATGTTGGCCTTGACTTTCCAAACAGCCTCAAGGAAATGGCAGTGGATCCCCAAACGAAGGGCTGCGAGCCAGGGCCCTCCAGCTGGGTCCTGACTGACTGCAGTTGTCCTCAAGAAAGCTGATGAAAGAAAGGAGAAATGTGGAGGAGGGATGGATTTTTCTAAAAATAGTGTTCATGAGTCCAATTCCCTTCAGTTTACAGTGGAAAACATAGTCTTGCTTCCATGCCAAGAACTCTGAATTTGCAAAATCCTGCTGGTCTTTAGACAAGATCCACTATCAATGAACTGCAGCCGCCAATGTCGTATTGACCCCGGTTCCTGCATCGAGCAGCCTATTCAGGGGCAGCCCTCAACTGAGCAACTCCTCCCCTGCAAGTCCAGGGCTACTCTCTAGTGTCTTCACCCTTTACCAGCTTTCATAGCACCACTGACAGTATTCAGTCTCCCCTTAAAAATTCTGTAACTGCTCCTTGAGCTTGGAAGTCACAGGGAGGTCACAGGGAAGCAAAGCAACTTCTCTGTGGGCACTGGTAGGACCATGCCCTGCCCGAGCGTGGTGGGTTCATGCAGAACCCCTGGGAGAGCATCCCTGAGAGCCGGCACCACACACTGAACCCTGAGGGCACCTGAATTAACGAATAACCCACCCGTGACATGCTCGGGAGGATTCCCCAGCACTGGGACCGGCTCTGAAATGTGGCCACCAACCAGCGAAGCCACTGGTGGCCAAGGCATGGCAGATCTAGAGGGACCTGTCTTTAAGCCTTTTAAGGCTTTCCCAGAGACAGCGACAGGAATCGCAGCATTGCCCGGTTTAGGAAACGGATCAAAACAGATTCATGTTTTGAGATTCTGGGATTTCGGGGAAGATATATGTTTCAGCTCTGCATTCAGTCCTGTAGGTGTATATAGAGGTCTTACAGAAAAAATACCTCAAACTATTTTTTCTAATGACATTTCCAGACAAAAATTTTCAGGCACAAACAAGTGAAAACGCTGCTCAAACACCTGAACGGTTACCTGACTTCTGAACAGTTAAAGAATCACCCATCACTGTTAAAGTGAATCAATTCATATTTTATGAAATAAGATCACTCAATGCTTTTCTGAACCCCATCAAATTCTTGCCCTCGCTAACCAGGTAATTATCCATTTTATAAACCCACAGCCACCAGAGGCACCACCTTCTCATGGCGCAGGGGACCCTTTCTGTGCTGAAGGCCCAGCACCCAGCAGATCCTACCCCTCACCACTCCAGAGTGGATCCTGGCCAGTGCATTTTCCCTGTTTTTGTGTCACAGCATTAACCCTTTCATTGTTCTCTTCACCTAGAGGTCTTCTCCACTGTGTAACAGTTTTCATTGCCCATCTCAAAGTCCTTTCAATTATAATTTTATGATTTTACTGACTAATTCAACTCTCAGTTAATGTGGTCCTTTGGCTGCGAGAACCGAAATAGGAACAGAAGACTGTATTCTTCTTCCATTTCACTCCATTCATTTTAAGTGAAACATGTATGAAAAAGACAAATGATACATTTTCTATTACCAGATACTAGTTCATATCCTCCTTTCTCTTTCCTTTTTAAAATCATCATCAAAAGTGATGCACTTCAATTCTTTTAGGCATACTTTGATGATATTGCAATATGCAGTTTATGGAAAAATCAAATGACTCTTTTTTATGTCAGCAGCACTCCGCTATTTCCCCACTAAAAAGCAACATTTAATTTTTGAGTTGCACATTTGCAGCAGTTGCTGTGGGCGGAGAGTCTGCTTATTTATTTGGTTGGTTTTTACTACAATGTACTGTCATGGCAACTGTACTGAGGGCGAATGCATCTGGAGGTAATTTATACACGTCGTATTGACTGCAGTGAAATTGGCTGGTGCCGTTTAAACTTTTCCAAGCACCGGGAAAAGGCAAAGTTAGCCTTCTGAGACCCAGAATCAGCTTCTCCTTAGTAAATAAATAAACAAACAAACCAACCAACCGGGCAGACCCACAGGAGCTATGCCGCACATTTCTTGGAGTTTGGATGCAGAGCGTGCCGGATGCTCGGACTCAGGAGGGATGCCTCGGGCAGCCCCTGGTCCAGCCGGTGCCCAGACAGGTGTTTGCTGTTCATCCCACTGATGGGGGACAGCCATCACACCCCCAGGGATTGTTCGGGCCAGTGGTGGCCAGACCCATCTCCCTGGCATCCCACAACCTGCCCGGCCAAGCTGCAGGTCCCCTCGCCATGGGGACAGTTCAACCTCCACCTGCTCTACCTCACACCCCTGAAACACAGAGAAACCCCACTGAAACCCATGGAAAGACTCAGCACACAGTAGCATAAACGGGATAAACGGGGCCACTGATGCCGTTCAAGCATAACGTGCCCGACCTCCGCTCCACAGCTTCCTGCTCCCTCTCCAGCTGAGCGGCCGCCCTTGGCATTGCTAATTAGCGGTGCCCAAAGGCTGCCCTGGCGCTGCCTCCCAGCACAAAGGGCCAGGGAACCCTGGCCCAGAGCACTCCTTGCTGTTGTAACTGGGTGACTCTGTGTGAGTCGGAAGAGAGCTCGGAAACCCTGAATTACAGCTGGGCAAAAATGATTGCAATCTGATAAATGTATCCAACCTCATCTTCTGCTGGGGGCAAAAAACCCCTTAAACCTTCTGAATCCCTGTGTGATTGCAGCCGCCATCACCTCGCTGATGAGGCTTCGCAGCAGCATTTCAGTAAAGGGGGCCACCCCTTTGCCTTACAGACAGCACCTCCACCCCTGCCCCCAGCGCCTCGGGGCGCTGAGTCCGTAAGGAGCACGGCACGTTCCCCTTGGACCCTCAGAGGGCTGATACAGGGCATAGACACATCCTGCTCTTGGGTTAGACACGTGCTTTGGGAACGGCTCAAGCTTCCCGTAGCTCCACGTCAGGAACAACTACAGAATCATACCACACCTGTGCTGATAGACAGTATTTCTTCAGATAAATTAGAGCAGTAACAATCCACAGCGTCTAATTATGGGTAATTTCCTGTTCATCTGTCTAGATACTTCTGACCCTTTTACTGTAATTCTTGAGCACTCACAACGTTGATCAGAGATTTTCAATAATTTAACTTTAAGGGTCAGCTCTTCAGCTGGTGTAAATCAATGCATTTTCTTTGGCTTTGGAGCTGATCTGAAGGGAGCTGTGGTGACTGGCGCTGGAGAAAGTGATCTTAATTGACTACAGCACATTAGTGCCTCCTCGCCCTTTGCAGCCCCAGCTCTCAGGAGCTGCTGATGGACCCACAGGTACTGGTGGGAAGAGCATTAACTGCTTCTCAGACTGAGCCCTTAGAGAAAGTGTAGAGATAAATACAGCGAGTGTTTTTGGACATTACTCCACCCGATACAATTGAGACCAGCACATACAAACTTTAAAATAAAAAAAAAAAATTTAAAAAGCATCTAAATCGGGCCCTCAAGACCACCTAATGTAAGATTAGAAGATGGGGATTCCTATCTCATGCCACCCCTGCTCAGCAGCTGAGGCTGAAAGGTCCCACAAAAGAATTCAGGCTCAACTGACAGAAGATTCAGCTGAGCTTTAATATATTTTTGGCCTAGAAGTTTTTGAGCGTTTCTTTTTGGTTGCTGTTTAAGATAGAAAGAAGTTGCACAACTAAATAAGAAATGGAATGGGTAGAGACTGGAAACGTAGCATCGATTTAAGAAAGATGCATGAATGGATATCCACAAAACTTTAACGCAGATACTGTTTCTTTGCCATGAGTGTGGATATCAAGAGTGTACCCCAAATGCAAGTTAAACAAAACCCATAATATTTTCTTTTCTGGAAAACACTATCTTTTTCAGCACTTGCCTGGCTCCAGAGAGAAGTGACAGACTGGGAAAACAGGAACTTATGGGGAGATGCCAGCTGTTATTGGCTCCAGGAGGTTAAAGGCTCCCCAGAGCACAAAGGAGCTTTTCTCACCCAGACAGTCCCATCGTGGAATATATCAGCAGGGCAGAAGCCCATAAAGCTCAGAAGCAAGTCAAGAGATAGCTGCGGAAACTTGAAATGAATTTTTTTGAAACATTCACTAGTTTTCGTCCATATTGCACAATAGAAATCTACTAAAAAAATAGCAGGATCTCTGGTTTCTTTTAAAGCAACCCGCACAGCAACTCCCACAGCTCCGTCAGTACAGAGCCCCAGACATCCGTCAGCAAAAAGCCTACCTTTATTATGCAGAAAGAGATTAATAATTATCTATCTATTGTGAGTTGATGCAACTTCTTTTTCCCCACACCGCTGTTTCTTCCTGGTCTGCATCTGTAGCTTCACTACTGCTAGGCTGAAGGGAAGGGATTTGGTAACACCTTCCTAAGAAGCTGCTGATGCTGGGGCTGCCTGTTCCAGGCAGTGACAAAGAACGGAAATGTCGGCTACTGACAAAAGAAAACAAAAAACTTTTTTCCCCAAGAGAAATAACCTCATCATAAAGGTATTTCGCATTCATTCCAAGTTAAAGAAAGAAGAAAAGAAGTAAGGCTGAAGATCTGAAACTAGCATCTGCTTAATCAGTCCTTCTCATTGGATGATAGTTTTCATAGTGCACAATTATAAACAATAGATGGAGAAAGGTTCAATTGGAAAAAAAAAAGGGCTGGGTGGGGGAAAGTCACCCTGATGACAGGTATTTTCTATTTGGATGTGAACCAACTGTTCCCCCTTGATATTCCAGGTTCCAGCATCAGCTGTTGGTGCCTGGGCAGAGCAGGAGGATGGCATCGCCCCAGGGACATGGGGAGCCCCTGGGCCAGCTGGACTCCTGAGGCAGTGGCCGTGCTGCCCCAGGCTGCTCCCTCTGCCGCAGCCGTCTGAGAAGGCGGCTTTTCGTGGGGACGAGGCACCGAAGGGATGGGCTGAACTTACGGCAGGACCCTGCACCCGGCCAGGCGGAGATTCGGGGCCCATTGGGAGGTGTGAAGGGCCTGGTTCCAGTAAGGGCATGGCCAAAGCTTTCTTCAGGCTGCAGAAGTTTCTCCGTCGGACGCAGTTTCTGCTCTTCTTCCTCACAGCAGCTTACCTGATGGCCGGCAGCCTCCTGCTGCTCCAGCGGACACGCTTGGTGATCCAGCAAGGTTCACGTGGGACCTCTGCAAATCAGGCCCTGCCAATGCTGGATGGGATGGCGGGGGTCGGGATGGCAGAGCCCCGGACGCTGCAAAACCCCAGTCCCAGGCTGCTGGTGGCCATGGAGGCGATGCAGGAGCCGGCCCTGGACCAGCGGCATGGCCCGCGGTGGCTTGTGTCCCGCAACTCAGAGCTCCGGCAGCTGCGGAGGAGGTGGTTTCACAGGTTCATCAGCGACCAGGAGCCCATGCAAACAGCGGGATTTAAAGCGATAAAGCCCACAGCTGAGCACAAAGGTAAGGGTCATACCCCCGGTTTCGGGCACACACACACCCTGCGCCTCCTCCTGGGGACATCCTGGGAAAAGAGGGGCGAGCACCACGAAGTGTCCCTGCAGAAACACCTCCTCCTGGCTCATTGCTGCTCCCAAACCAGTTCTTGAGCATAAGCACAGGCCAAAGTGTAATCCTGGTGTCCCTGGTCATGCTGAGCTGCAGCTTCCTCCAAAAGTGCGGTTTTATTGATTGAATGGAAGCCCAGACAGTGAAATATTCTTCCATAATTTGAATTATTTTCTTTTCAAGCAGGCAGAGATAAACACTGTTTAACTGATTTTCTTTCTCAGAACAGGGAACCCTTTCAAATCGGGGTTTATTCAATTAACTATCCAAAACCACACAAAACCTTAGGTCCAGAAGTGCCTCCTTGCTGCCAGCACGTACTAACTTCTGCTACTGCAGACACATTGGTGCTCCTGCCCTGGACACCCCTGCAAATACACTGTTCTCAGGGGGACAAGCTGTGGGCCATACAGCCCTTCCTCCCTTCCCGAGGCCAAACCAGGATCACAAGGGACGGAGAGCCCCTGGGTGGGAGACAGGCTCCCAGTGTTTGCCCATGCTGCTGGCCATTTGCCCCAGGCCCAGGGGAACTCCCTCTGCTGCAGGGCATCGGTGCCAGGCACAGGACTGGACCTGTCCCAGTCCAAATGGGAAGCTGGCCCCCACATTCCTACTAAACCTATGATGCCTCCTTCAGAGGAGGGTGTGAGAGAGACACGGGTGCAGGGCTGGGAGGGCACACGGCCCCCGTGCCACCTCCTCGCCGGGGCTGCTGCTGCCTCGCACCAAAGTGCCCAAGCCAAAAGCCTCGGTAAAGTGTAGAACATTGCCACTGCAGGTGTGTGACCTCCCCCTCGTTAACAGCATGCTAGGGGTGGGTATTCACAGCTTGTGAATTTTCTAATTGCGCATCTGCAAATTAGTGAGGTGCAGGTCTTTGAATCTTCTGTTGTGTTTGCAATATTTAAATGTTGATTTATTTTTCCTAGATTCATGATCTGTTAGACTGGCCTGAACTTTCTTTTTCTTGTGGATTATTTTATTGTTAATGCTTTTTAGTTCCATTTTTCATCATATATTCTCTTCCTATCCACAACTCACGTTATTTAATTTCCCTGTGTTATCATCTCAATACTGTTACTTCTGAAATCAAATTTCCTTTTTTCCTTCATATTTTAACGATAAAATGTACTTATATACACACAATTGTTGTATAACAGTGGGACTCTACATCATCCTTCCAATCATATATTAAAACATGGGCTGGATTTTTATAGTATTTTGTTCATGAACACAAAAAAAAGAGGCTTAACATAGGATGCAGTCTAAGAGAAATATTTATCTTTCATATGCTAAGTAAAGCAAGATGTATTTTAAAAGATTCATTTGCACTGGAGAAAGAGAGATAGTTCAATGCGATAGCGAGACGGTGCTGCCTAGTTAAGACGGAAGTTATCTTTCCATTATAGCTTTAATATAACTCTATGTACCCAAAGAAAATTGATTTTCTTAATATTTCTCTTGCAACGTCTTATTCTCAACCAGAGATATTCAAGAAAATTTGGGAGAAATTCAACAAGATTTCTCAAGGTCTATAGCATTTTGAAGACTACCTTTTCCATAGAAATTGGCCGTGCTTTGTCCCCAACGGGCAGGAGCCAAGCCGCCCGCGGGAACTGGGGCCCCAGGGTGGTGGCAGAGCCTGGGTCTGCAAAGGCAGATGCTTAAATAACCCAGGGAAGGGGAAACTTATGTTTCACTTCACTGCATTTCCACTCAAATCCTACCCCTTCAGCAGCACCTACCCGGGCAGGCACGGGCAGAGGGGTCCCCCAGGGCTGTGACTCCCTTGGGCACAGCCCCGCGTCCAGCGCTGGGTGGGTTCTCCCTCTCCCGTCTCCGTCCCTCCGCGCCGCCTGACTCTGCTCTCACATGCACACAGGCACCTACGTGGGATGCTTCAGCGATGATTCCAGGGAGAGGACACTGAAGGGAGCTGTGTTTTATGACTTAAGAAAGATGACAGTATCTCACTGCCAGGAAGCTTGCGCTGAGAGGTGAGTAGCATTTTTCCACTACAAGTTTTCTCTTTTCTGGCAATAAGTGGATCTGAACTTGAAATGGGAAAATCATATGTTAAATATATAGGATCTGTGAAAAACTGTGATTTTCTCATACCTTCAGGCGTGGTGCAGCTCTGCTACCTTGCTTAAAGTAGTCTATTTCACTGTTCCCTGTCTGCTTTATTATAGCACGGCTACTTACAAGGCATTTTCTGTTGTCCTGGTCAAAAATTACAGTTTTGTTAGATACTCTTTGTTAGATACTTGCCTCCTAGCCCAAATCTTTGATCTAAAATATTAAAAAACCAAAAAAGCTATGGACAAATGCATGGGAACGGCACGAGCACATTGGCCAGCTGGAGCCGTGGCTGTCACTCGGGTGCCTACACTGGGGGCAAAGCCCACCTCGCCCTCCCGAGGACCCCTGGGCACAGGCAGGCCGTGCCGCGTGGGCTCTGACCATCACCGCTCCCTGCCATCACCTGTGGTTCGAGGTGGCCACCCGCCGCGAGGAGGCCATGCTGGTCCCCAGGGCCGGGCAGCAGAAGCGAACACGGGGACGGGCTCGGGAGGAGGCGAGGTGCCGGTCCTGACAGCGCGGTGCTGTTCCCCGCAGGGCTTACAGCTACGCGGGCCTGGCCTACGGGGCAGAGTGCTACTGCGGGAACACGCTGCCGGCCACCGCCGCCAAGGCCGAGGAGTGCAACAGCGAGTGCAAGGGGGAGAAGGGCTCCGTCTGCGGCGGGGTGAGCCGCCTCTCCGTCTACAGCGTGGAGGAGCCACGGGCGGCCGCCCGGAGACGTAAGTGGAGGGCAACCGGGCAGCAGTGGCCGCTCGCCCCGTGGGGAGATGCCACGGCCAGGCTGGGCACAGGGACTGCCCCCGCCACTCGTCCCGCTCCATTTGTCACCGAGCCTGGAATGGCAAAGGACAAAGGTGCCCACGGGGCACGGTGTCCATTTGCTGCTGGCCCCGTCCCCGGTTCCCTCCCCGACAGCAGCGCTGGTCACCCCCGGGAGCCGGAGCTGTGTCCTGGGGCCACACGCAGAACGTCCGTGTCACCGGGGAGGAAACAAAAGGCAGGGCAGAGTGGCTGCAATGGGAAAAAACTGCTCCCTTTCACATCCATTGCAGAGGGACAGACCCACACGCGTTCAACAGACAGCCCCCATAACAGCAGGGCAGACAAGCACTTGTATCAGCACCACCCTCGCTCAGGGATGACACCAAACAAGCAGGAGAACAAGCGGAGGCCAGAGCGAGGGGCACACACCGGTCCCTCTCCTAAACCAGAGAAATGAGACTAGAGTTCTGCCCTCCCGAGGTCTCCTGTTCTAGGGTGGGGGGGGGGGGGGGG